CTTGCACACTCCTTTTATAGCCTTCATATTTACTAATCGTAGAAGTTCCAAATCTTCCAGATCATCGAGAACCTATTTACCGTGATATTCATCTTGTATTTTGATACTGGCTTCAAATTTACGCTACATCCTCTTCTCATAGCGGAGTCAAGAACTCCTCCATAACTCACTCCATTCCAGAGGCGGAGGCACTCGAAAGTTACCCATCTGGAAGCCTGCTGTCGTAACATCCATCTTCCTTAAAAAAACTTACTTTACGTTCTTTTTCTCGTCATTTTCCAACATTAATCTCGCTGTTTCGTTCATCCATCCCGTATTCTGTATTTCTTCGCGCTTTTGGCATCTGAAATTATATCATGCTATATCTGGACAAACGAACTTCAACGAACTGCTTCCATAGGGGAAGGGGAGGAGGAGGGGAAGGGCTACCAAGCTCAGTTGGAGTTGCAGAAATAGTTAGCGCAGCTAGAGAATTCGGCTTCAGCCAGATCAATCAGCTGGAGCATGGATAACAAACAAATCCTGCACGAAATTATTTTTTTTTACTGCGTACTTTGAAAAAGTCTTATTGTAACAGACGGATAATTTTTAGTCGAAATCGCAAAAGGAAGGTTTTTTTTTTTTTGTATGTTCTAAGAGGGCAGCAATTAAAGGAATTTGCTAAGAGCAGCACTATAGAATTTAGTCAAATGCATATATTGTACAAATGCGTTATTTACACTTTGTAAAATACTTGGCGAAATCCACATCATATATGAAATTTGGATGATATTTGCTGACTTGGAGGATAATATATGTTGCGAAATTTTCTGTGGATTTGTTCCTTTGTATATTTAGGAATTTGATACGAAATCTTGGTCTTATAACCATCGTGATTATTCTTTTCTGCATTTTTTGTAAATATAAAGTGATTTATTAAACCCAGGCTGGAACGCATCGGGTGGACCCGTGCGATCATGCGTTTTTGCACCGGAGCTGAATTACTCAGGTCATTATTTGCATGAATGGTTGCTGCTTCACACCTACCTTTTACGATCACTAGCATAAATCACCACAAATTTTGCATAAAGTAGATGTACAATTTCCATTTAACGATCTTTCTTTAAAAGTAACCTAGTTGCTCAGTCAGATATTGAGCCAAAATTTTAAGTGCCCATACGTAAGAACCACGCGTAACTCAAGGCTGAATTTGAAATAATGAAGTTGTATTTGGACAGGGAACATCCTTCTAAAGTTTCAACCTTCCAGCTTTTCTAGTCGCCGAGTCAGTAATCTTCCCGCCAAAAATTTTACATGTCTGTGCGTGAATACCCTACGTACCTGGAAAGCTGGAATTGAAATTTTTAAATTGCACGTGAACAGGGAACATCACCCTAAAATTTCAGCCTTCCAGCTCTTCT